AATATATTGTGTTCAATAGTCTGCTAGTACCTAAAATTATATTTATTTATTTATTTATATTTAGTTTTAGGTCATGACCATTGTACCACTCTAATTAAGTGTCCAAATCAGTGTTTAACATATCAATAGCATTATTAATATTTTTAACAGGAGCATGTAAATACAATTGAAAATCATCTGCGCAGAGCATAGATTTAGTAAAAACCAATGAATCAGCAATTTTAATGATGTATAGAGAAAATAACATTGCAGACAAGGTAGAGCCCTGGGGTACACCAATGGGATTACACTTCCATTCTGACAATGAACCTTTACTAGTTCTAACTCTTTGTTGTCTATCTGATAAATATGATTCCAACCAACTAACAACGCTATCACTAAAAGAAAAAGATCTCATAATTGCCAGTAACATTTTATGATGGACACTATCAAAAGCACGAGAAAAATCTAACAAAACCATAATAGTAACTTCACGACTGTCCATTGCTCTTTTTACATCATCAGTTATTGACACCAATGCAGTCTGGGTGTTATAGTTAAAACTATAGCCTGCTTGGTATTTAGACAACTTATTACTATCACAAATATAACTAGAGATTTGCTGAAACACAAGTTTATCAAATATTTTACCTAATACACTTGATCCAGGGACAAGGATTCTTATTTGTATATATTCGTCTTTCAGGGATAAATTTATTATACAACAATCGCTTCTTATTGTCTACCTACCCTGTGAAAGGAATGTGTATGCAAACAAAACTGAGGAGTATGCGATTGATATACCAATCTTTCAAACAATGATACAATTGGCCGCGATGATTTCTTATATCTTTTGAAAGTAATGAATATTTACGACAGGGTGTTGCCGTATGAGATAAATAATTATACTCGACAGTGGTGTCTTTGGTAATGGATTAAGTTAGTGAACCCTTATTTCTTCATGTTTTTACAGGTTTAGTTAACTGATAAATAAAACAGGGATGGAAATATATTTGAAAATTTCTAGGTTCGGGATGCTAAGGAATTACAAGTATGCGGATAATCAAGAGTTACCTGCACTATTATGTGAATGGAAGCTATCGAATGTTGTTTTGAGTTATTTGCTTTATTTATTTATTTAATAGCAGAGTATCCGTCCTTTGTACGCGGTTGGCATATAGGTGTAAAATGCGTATTGCAGTTATACTCAAGCTTTGCGTTTTCAATGGGAGAGGACACAGTTTGATAGAATTTGGTTCTTTAAATTCACGGTATGCTATAGTATAAACGTATTAAATGCTATGTTGCTTCATAAACTATTAAAGCTCGAGTGGAACTTATAAATCTGAGTATAAAACGCGTTCTGAACTAAATCATCATTTTACTCTCTGTAGCATTCAATAAAATAAAAACTGCTCATAACTTTATAACCATTTGACCTTTTTTTTAACATATCAGACATCTCTAGCTTGGAAAGAATATTTTTTAAACCGAATACAAGTTTTTTAAATATATTTTTAATTATTATTATTTTTTATAGAAGGAATTGTAGTTAGTTTATTTTAAAATTATTAACAAGGTTTAGACTACTAGTAGGTACGTGTCGATTGTGACGGTATCGTGATCAGTACTGACATTGACTTGGAAAGGTGATACTTCATTCTACATTCATATTTAGTTAAAATACGAACCTAAGTGGGACAATATGAAAGATAAATAATATGTGGTTGAGAACAAAGCATCTTCTTTGCAATCAATTGTTTGTATAGGTTTTGCGCACAGTAATGTTACTTGACTTTTCAATAATTAAAACTAAATAGTTCTACAAAACCCCATATATTTTTTAAAATATAGAAAAATTATAATGAAAATAAAAGGAAGATTGTTTTTCAAGAAAAATAAAGCAATTATATTTTGAAATTATATTGTAATTTACTGTATATGAGAATGCATATTTAATTGAACGTTGACCGTGGAAGAAATAAAATCCCGTTCATCTAAAGTTATTTTTATTCCTCCAACCAATGACAGCTCAAAAAAGGCAAAAACCTGCACAAAAAATTTCCAAACTTTGACGAAAGATATTGCGTGTGAACTTGTCACTATTTCTCACTTTTTTGTTATTATAAAACTTTATTTTAACTTTATTGTATTATGTATTTATCATAGGCTAACAGCTGAAACCATATATCTAATTTTTTTCTTTTATTAAATTTTAGATTTTGTTGTGTTTTGATTTGTTGTATTTTGCATTTAGGATCATGACTTGACTGCTATACAGTAGATAGCCTATACTTGAATGTTCTCTGAAGTGTATTCCAACTTAGGTTGGAGTTTGTGTATTGTTAGTTGTACAACATGTTAAGTTACAATGTTACAATGTGTTAAGTTTTTTCTCATTTGTGTACGAGATGAGTTTTTAGATGCTGAAACGTTGGGTGGAGTGTTTTACATGTGTGATGAAAAGTGTCTGTAGTAACCCTTTAAGGCCCGGTTTCCCCAAAATGGTGTAAACTTCGTTTATAATAAACTAGTTTATTTTTAAACTCCGTTTAAAATGTGTGTTCGGTTTCTCCAACATTTTACTGGCTTCGTTTAAGATAAACGGAAATTCGAGCGGTTGGCAATCCTGAATGTGTGTTTGTAAGAAATCTTCGGTGGGCTTTGGCCTTTGGGCTAGTGTTTCTTACAACGCTCGCTACGCTACGCTACAACTCAGTAGAGCAGACGAGCAACAGCAAAGTGCGAATGCTGCACTGTTTAAGGTTATGTTATGTTATAAAGTTGATTTTCTTTTACAACAAGACGAATTCTGTCCCTTTATTTTAGTAGGCCCTCTTGTTCTTGGTAATAAAGTGTTATAATCTTCATCTTCAACTTCTTCGAAAATGTCAATTGAATCTTCCATTTGAGTTAAGGCAAATACTGCAATTAATAGTAGCCTTAACTTGCGCAAAAAAATTAATGTCAAAATAAAAAGAACTTAATGAACAAAATAAATTAAAATATAAATACAACTTAACTTAATCATAGGCCTTTACAATATAAGCTAGCCCTAAGCAAAGCCTATTTTCGTCCAATAAATTTGTTGATGCTTCAATTATTATCCTACCCATTGTTTTGGAATTATTTGAGGTTATGTTACTGTTGTAATTTACTAATTTGAACTCAGTTTATTTTATCTCCAGTAGTTAAACCAAGTCGAGAGGTGGTTTAGTTTGAACTTAGATTAATACCTAGTTTAAATTTGGGGAAACACAAATCAAAGTTAAACTACGTTTAAATCGCCGTTTAACTTAAAACTAAGTTTAAATGAGTTGGGGAAACCGGGCCTAAGCAACATTAGCCTACCATCATTGTTGTATTTACATAAACATGGCATAATATTTTAAACTAATGTGATAGCTATGCCCAATCACTTTACTATTGCAATATGAGTTGGTAAAAGTATAATCCAATATACGTCCAAACAAGCTAATTAAACACGAAGAAAAGAGTGGAGATCTAGCTTTTCATATATAAGTTATATTGATCTTTATTTTCCTAAGACAAACCATATAACCCATTAAATATAAATGAATACTATTTTCTGTAAAAGACGAAAATTGTAAAAAGGACTTAACAAAATTACATACAAATACTTCGACTATAGTGCAAAGGAGTTGGTATACATTTACATTTGTTTATTGTTTTTTTTCAACTAATTTTAGGAGAAAAATAAATAACACATGTGTGACCAACTTTGCAATACTGGTTTGATTAACAAACGTTAAAATTGCACTCCCAAACAATTTACCCGTATTTATTTGTTTTTTAGAATTTTCAATTGTTTCTACGTTGATAAAACTATAGGTATGACATTAATAAATCCATGTATCATAACTAGAGATAATTTTATAATGTTACCTAAAATAACCAAACAAAATTATATTTTATATTACATTGTCCATAAGTGAGATTTAATTTTGTAACGTTTTCGTTATGACGTATAATAAAACATAACTAAAATATTGGTGATATCTTTGTCTGAAATTAATTCAATTAAATGTTTTGTCAAAACAGCTAACTATTTTTTCAAGAAATCTAACAAAAATTAATCATTCAATAACACCTTTTTGAAGACAAGCAAAACTCAACAGGGACAATAGTTTCGTTTTAACAAATATTATCTCCGTGGTGAAATTATTCAGTTACGTAACCTAATTTTTAACTGATGAACTATTAACCAACAAAGCCCGTATATTATTCTGAATGTGCATTGCCTAGACAATTGATGTTCCTCAAGTGAGAAAATGTCAGATAATAGTTCTGTAAAAATATTAGTTTTATAGTATTATGTAACGTTATCAGCTAAATTATACGACTTTTAATTTTAGTGAAATTTTTTAGTATAGTCTAAGCCAAAACTAGAATCAATATATTTTTGTACTCATACCTATACAAAATAGATGTGTATTATCAAACCTACTTATCTTTAAAAAAAACTTAAGTAAGACAACAATTTAAATTAAACCATAAAAACTTGAAGTTTTTAACGTAACTTATCTTATTTACTAACTTTAAGTATAGGCACAAATCCAAATTCTTAAATTTCTTTAACAAGAGTGACAGTTTAATTAGTGGAAAATGGATAAATTTATACTCATTACGGGTCATGTAGGCATTAAATGATAATTATTTTTTTGAAGAAAAAGTGATATAATAACGATAATGTTTGTATTTCACACCTTAATTACTCTCCCAAGGAATCTACAATTTAATCGTGGAATTAGTAAATTTGTTGGGCAGTAAAATCGATTCTTGGTGACCTGCCAAATCGTAATGATTAATCCTGTTATTGCTTTCTCATTAGTTGCATGGATTGAAAAAAAACTATAGAATAATTTTTTTAATACTTTTTATTTAAATTAAGCTAAAAATTAATTTTACGTGTCATGGTTTGAATATTAAACAGCATTTAATTAGCGAAACACTTTCGCTTGGAGCACTGTTGTTGGGGAGCGGCTGTAGCTGACAGTGAGCTAAGGCAGTGAGTGATGGTGTGTAGTGAGGGTTGGCTTGGAGACCTCCCTCGATGCGTAGGCAGGTTCCAGACAACAAAGGATGACCCTGAACCTTCGCGAAGGCGGGAGAATGGGGTGGGGGCATAGTGGTGAGGCGTTGGGCGGTGGGGGTGTCGAGGTGTGAGTGTGGGGGGGGGTGTTGGGGCGGGTGGGGGTAGCATGAGTAAGCGGGAGGATCGTGAGTGAGCGGGAGGAGCAAGGGTTGGCTTGGAGACCTCCCACATAACTCGTGGTTTACATTTAACACTCTATATTATATGTTGTAACCTTAGCAGAATATGTTAACGTAATAATGTTTCAGTCTGTTCTATTCTTAGTTTAAAACGAAACTATCTAAATGTAAGTAGCATCTTCTCTCTTCATAGTCCGCAAAGTAAAATAAACTAAACTATTAGACTTGAAAAAATACACTTTTCTTACAATTTTGTGTCATATGTATGCTATTTTCATAGTGTACGTCTATTACATCATATTCTTACCACTTTTTCAGTTGGGTTGGTCGTTCAAACAGTCTGGCAGGTAAAACGGTTAAAATATTTGAAATATGTGAAATACTGCTCTATGATTGGTCAAAATAAGCTAACATCCTATTGGTGGTAAATAAGTGTGCGCTATGTGGAGAACAAAGAATACAAGGGAGGAGCGGGGGGTCGCTTGAAGCGCAGGTGTTGGGGAGCAGCTGCGGCTGACAGTGAGTGATGGTGTAGGGAGGGTTGGCTTGGAGACCTCCCACGATGCGAAGGGTGGTTCCAGACAACAAAGGATGACCTTGAACCTGCCCGATGGTGGTAGGGGTTAGCGACGGGGGTGGGGGTGACGATGTGGGTGGCGTCGGGAGGAGAGGTGGGTGGCGTCGGGGGTGGGGGTGGCGTCGGGGGTGGCGTCGGGGTGGGGGTGGCGCCGGATGTGGGGCGGTGTCGGGGGCGGGGGCGGCGTCGTGTGACGTCAGCCGCTCACTGCCGCTCAAGCCGCTCACTCCCGCCGGAGCCGCTAAATTCCTCTACTTAGGGGGCCCAACTTTTTTTGAATTCAACGTTACATTCACATTCCCCCCCTTTCCCCCCCCCTTCCCCCAACTTAATTTTTTTAAATAGCAAGGTACCCCTTGTGACATATCAAATAAAAGAGCTTAAAAAAGAAAATGTTTGATGAAAAAAATTTAAAATCGGTTCATAAATTTGCGAGATATATATCCCTCCCCTCTCCCTGGAACTTAATTTTTTTTATCGCAAGGTACCCCTTGTGACATATCAAATAAAAGAGCATGAAAAAAGAAAATTTTTGGTGAAATTTATTTTTCATTTGATATGTCACAAGGGGGGTACCTTGCTATTTAAAAAAAAGTTATGGGTAGGGGAAAAGGGGGGGGATTATCTCACAAATTCATGAGCCGATTTTTAATTTTTTTTTCATCAAACATTTTCTTTTTTCATGCTCTTTCATTTGATATGTCACAAGGGGTACCTTGCCATTTAAAAAAAATAAGTTGTGGGCAGAGGGGGAAAGGGGGAAAATGTGAATGTAACATTGAATTAAAAAAAAATGTGCCCCCTCTGTCAATAGATGATTCCTGCAAACTGAATATTTCTATCTATTGTGGTTTTTACATAAATAAAGATGCAAGTTAAAAAAAAAAACACCCTGTATATTAATAGGCAAGAAAAAGGCATTTGTTCTCAGCTTGTGTTCATCGCAGGGGAAATCTACGAATACTGTTAGAAGGATATTTGCCTGTAAATGTGCCGAATGCCCAAAAATTAAAATAGGCTAGAAAATAAACAAAAAATGAGTATATAATATTTAAAAAAAAACGAGGGCCGTATGGGATGTTGGTGACGTAATATAAACATAAAACCAAAACAAATGGAAGAATTTCCTACCACGTGTTTTATATAAAGCGTGGAGTGAAAATAGGGAGGTTTGCACAATACATATTTCTTTTCGAGTTTTCGACAACGAGGCGACCTCTAGTTAAAATAAATTCACACATAAGACGATGCATGAAACAAAAGTTTAAGTTTGTTTGTAGTCCAGGCAACGAATGCTAAAAAAAGGGTATAGAGGGAAATGTTTGGAACACAATTTCTGACTTCGTAACTTTGTTTAGTATAGTTAGGAGGTTAACATACCAAAAGTCCCCGCCTCTAGCCCTTGTGCTGTGGGGGAGGGGGGGGCTTGAAGGTACCATTTTTCGGTTTTTTGCTGATATCTCGGAAACCATGCGTCCAAGCGAAATTATGCTAATATACAAAATGAAAGCTTATTAAATTTCCAGCAAGTTTGTATTTTACTATTTTTCAATACCTTGTATGGTTTTCGCGTTATTTGCCATCAAAAGTTTGTAAATTTGGAAAAATATATTTTTTCCTCATGTTTTTTGTTCTTTTTGACAAGTTGCCTCTTAAACTATGCACCCAAAAAATAAATGCTGGGCATAGGGTTGTAGAAAATTAAATTCCCTTCAATAATATATATGACTTTACTAGTTTACCTCCTTCCGTTCAGATTTTAAAGCAAATTAACCGTCAATATAAAAAAAATTAAATTTAATTAAAATAAAAAAATTAAAATCTAGTGTTGAGCAAGGAATTTGAAGTCTTGCAACAGCTGTTGACTACTTAATATTTCAATTTATCACCTTACACAGTCAACTAATTGGTTGGAACATTCACTATGAAGTAGCTAAGGTGAGTGATGGGCGTCTAAAATAGCACAGATACCCTATAGAAAATATATACTTGTGGGCTGCCTAACTAGCATCCTCACACTTGATGATCTAGCTAGACTATTGTTATGGGAAAATATGGTGTTATAACCATGTTTATGCATATAAGAGTGTCTATATGACACTGGAAACCAATCACAACCATAAAATTTAAACAAAGATAAATTACATATTTAAGTGAATTAATATAAAACATTAAATCAGTACGTAGCCTAATATTCTATCCCTTGTTATCTTAGTTTAATAAGGACTACCATCCTCATCATTTTTATCCTTTTTTTCTCCATCGGACCTATTTTTGAAATAGATATACTGTTTTTTTCATATTCTTAGTCATCTTTCCCAGGAACAACATTTTGGCATTTTTGGCATACTTATTTTAGGCTTGCTTTTTTGCTACCTGATTTTGCACGAGTACAGTTTTATGTGCATAGGCAGAAAACGATTTTGAGAATATCCTTCAGTGTAGTTTCATGCTGAGTTGAGTGTGCTCTGCTACTACAGAGTTTTTATTATTCCTTTCCACTCTTACATAAGAGAAGGCAGGTTATTTCCCAGCCACAGCTGAACCTTTTGGAATGTACATGATAGGAAACGATGTTTTAAAGCACCATCAGTCGGAGGAAGACAAGAGATATTAGGCTTTATGGAGACCATCGATTTAAAAATTGACTTTTACCTGTATAGATTGAAGTTGAGGGATACCTCTCACACTAGAGCCCATATCAAATCAAGATGTACATTTTCCCTACCTTTTGTATTTGGGTGGTGTTGGAGAGGGGGCGTGAAAGACTGATGATGCATTTTGGGCCACTGGGGAATTCGATAAAAACTTCGCACACCTTGCTTTTCTCAAATGATAAAGATTTTTTGTCACATCCAGTAGAATCGCGTTCAAAATATCATCTAATCCTTGTTAAGATAGTTTATGGTGCGAGAAAAAGATGTCCCTTACCTTCTTTCTTAGAGAATAAGAGGATAAAAACGATTATGAGGATGGTAGTCCTTTCCAAACTAAGATAGCAAGGCTGAATTGACTCCATAGTAGGCTAAGGCTACTCACTAATGTAATGTTTTATGTTACTGTAATTCCTACTTAAATATGTCACTGTCTTGGTTTCAATTTTATGGTTGTGATTGGTTTCCAGTGTCATATAGACACTCTTATATGCATAAACATGGTTATAACATCATATTTTCCCATAACAATAGTCTAGCTAGATCATCAAGTGTGAGGATGCTAGTTAGGCAGCCCACAAGTATATATTTTCTATAGGGTATCTGTGCTATTTTAGACGCCCATCACTCACCTTAGCTACTTCATAGTGAATGTTCCAACCAATTAGTTGACTGTGTAAGGTGATAAATTGAAATATTAAGTAGTCAACAGCTGTTGCAAGACTTCAAATTCCTTGCTCAACACTAGATTTTAATTTTTTTTATTTTAATTAAATTTAATTTTTTTTATATTGACGGTTAATTTGTTTTAAAATCTGAACGGAAGGAGGTAAACTAGTAAAGTCATATATATTATTGAAGGGAATTTAATTTTCTACAACCCTATGCCCAGCATTTATTTTTTGGGTGCATAGTTTAAGAGGCAACTTGTCAAAAAGAACAAAAAACATGAGGAAAAAATGTATTTTTCCAAATTTACAAACTTTTGATGGCAAATAACGCGAAAACCATACAAGGTATCGAAAAATAGTAAATTACAAACTTGCTGGAAATTTAATAAGCTTTCATTTTGTATATTAGCATAATTTCGCTTAGACGCATGGTTTCCGAGATATCAGCAAAAAACCGAAAAATGGTACCTTCAAGCCCCCCCCTCCCCCACAGCACAAGGGCTAGAGGCGGGGACTTTTGGTATGTTAACCTCCTAACTATACTAAACAAAGTTACGAAGTCAGAAATTGTGTTCCAAACATTTCCCTCTATATCCTTTCGTTGCCTGGACTATTGATTTTACTTAGAGGAAAAATACTAAAATGGTTGTAAGAGGTATATTAAAGAAGATAACTAAAAAAAGCATGTAGTTAAGGCAACAGTTCTAACTGTAGTGTATTGAAATATTTCTATACATTTTCATTTTTGAAAACAACCTGTATATGAATGGTTTAGGCTGTGTCATGTAAACCTGTATCATTATGGGTAAAACATGTAGCTTCTCTTTTGTTACGAATTTAACTCCTATTAACTCCTAGTATTACTAATTCTCAAACAGTTGAAAACATGATAATGATTCTGAAGCCGGTTCTCAAGATGGATAGTCTCTAGTGTCGACCTGTCTTGCCTTTCTGTGCAAAGTACGTAGCATGTCTTGTATAATTACATACTTGTACACATAGTGTCGGTAATGTAAGATGAAGCACTCAAATCTACTGTCTCAAGTGACAGTGTGTCTCGCCGTTCCATCAAGTAGGCAAAGATTGATTTCTGTCTTGTAAAGTTAATGTTTGGTACATCGTGATACAAAACCTTCATTCACGTGATATTGGTATAATGAAGAATGAAGCATGAAGGTTAGCGTAATTACTTTATTTTATAATACTTTATTATTTTTATACATTTTAATGGCCATTGACAAGGAACTTAAAGTTGGTTCATTTGAGCTTTGAAAAAAATACAATTTTGACACACTTAACCTAATTATTACCAAAAAGGTTTTATTTTACTTGAAATCAGATATCTTTTATTTAAGTTTTGTAATCTTCCAAACAGAAAATGGCTACTTTTATTATTTGAGTTGAATGGTATTATTAAAACACCAGGTCACAACCCCATTAGCATTTACTTATTTATTTACAACTAATGTACGAGTATTCTTTTTTGAAATATTAAAAATACGATACAATGTTAAAAGTTAAAATATATTTATTTTTGGATAAATATTTTTAATTTAGCTAGAAAATCTTTTTTAACGGAGAATGCATTTTTTCCGATGTACCTGTAGCGTGTATTGTCTATATATATCAAATCCAATGTATGTTTGTTTGTCTGTTTGTCCTTTATAGACTCCAAATCCACTCGACAGATTGTAATGAAACTTTCAGACATTAAACATTATTCAAGGATGGTTTGTGTGAAGTTTGGTGCAGATCCGTCAAAAGGGCTCAGCCCCAGTGGCTCTGGAGTTTCCCATGTTAACCTTATGAGTACTCATACCAATAGGGTGCAGCACTAATACCAATTTTTTTATGACAACAGCTAATTTGCAATCAAAAGGTGAGTGAGCGTAGCGAACGAACTTCAACCTGGAAGCGAGTTAGCGTAACGAACGAGCTAACCTGAAGGCAAGCGAGCGCAGCGAACGAGCTCCAACCTAAAGGTGAGTGATCGTAGCGATCGAACTTCATCCAGGACGTGATTGAGTCATGCGAACAAGCTCATCTTGAAAATGAATGAGCATCTGTGATTTGACATAAAACCACATTACGACGTCTGTCGGGCCAGCTAGTATTAAATAATCATGATAACCTAATCTACTATTAATAGTTCGGTTTAACTCATTATTCATTAATATTCTTGAACTTCATTTTTTATTATTCATTACCCTGTGATATTTTGTGTGTAAGCAGTCTGTTTTTTGTAACTTTATATTTGTCGAGTACTTACACCATTAGCATATTAACTCTACTCACTAAGAAAAGATTTGGCAAATTTGTATAAACGAGTCGGCCTGAGGCACACCAATCTCACGCTAGGAAAACTTTTCACATTCTCTTCTGTAAACAAACATCATGTGTTGTGACAGTTGTTTAGTAAAGGTAAAAGTGCCACTAATATCAAACTTTTGAGTAGATGTATCAGATGTTTTAGTACCAATATCAAATGTTGAGTAGATATATCGCATGTTTCAGTATCAAAATCAAATGTTGAGTAGGTATATCACATGTTTTAGTACCAATATCAAATGTTGAGTAGGTATATCACATGTTTCAGTACCAATGTCAAGTATTGAGTAGGTACATCACATGCATCATTGCCAATATAAAATGTTGAGTATGTATATAACATGTTTCAGTAAAATCATATTACCCTGGTAAAATTACTAGAGTCATTTACATGAAAAAACTGTCTAAATAAAAGTAGGAGTATACAACAAATTTAATGAATTACAGGATAGTAATCAATATATTTATCAACCAAGGTTGGTTGATCTCAAACACCTTTGATTTTTTATAAACTATGATCAATCAATTTATTCGTTTTTTGATTGTTAATCAATGCACCAATTTGACAATTTGGTATGATAATCTTGGCTTTGCTTGGCAGCATTGCCATTACAGAATTTCTTAGGTTTTAGCTTACCAGGTTTAGGCTCAATCAGTTATATGATATAACAAATAAAATTAGTAAAATTAAGCAGGGTAGGAAAGTTAGGTTGATTCCTATCATTATTCTCATATTGAAAGAGTCTAGATAATTGTAATAAAATGTGATCAGATTCCATTAGTTTATTTGGCCAAAATATCCCTATAAATGAACACTCTGAAGTTATAAAAGAGTTTAATGTTAGGAAAAAAGCATATCTAAATAGTATTAACTATATTTAAACGACTTATTATTGATGCACTATATATTTTTGATTCGAAAAATGTGATTGATAAAGTTCCTACTTTGGTGTAAAAAAATAATTTTCTAGTTAAGATAAGACAACGTTCTTCGTCAACAACTTCAAAGCTTTGTGGTGCGCAAAATTAGAAATCTTCTACTTCATAATATCCTGGTCTTTGAAGTGTCATTTTATACTTCACCACTATTACCCACTCACTAAACTTCTACCAGCTTTTCATTTTACCTTAACCTTTTTACATTGTTACTTTTCATACCTTTTACTATACATTACTGTACAATATTGTTTTAGTTTACATTTAGAGTTTTGCGTTATAGTGGATATATTTGTATTGTTATATTAAAACACCTGAGGTATAGTATTTTTAGTATTAGTGGAGCAATAGAAATATCTCTCCGCAGCAGACCTGCAGACTAAACGAATATCAATTTGCACGAATTGGGTGTTCTCTAAAATATTTCCTTAGTACATTAGTTTATCCTCTATTCAAATAATATTGCTTAAACAAGTAAATAGTCTTACTTATACAAAATAAGTAATACCGTATGTTTTTTTTTTTTAAATACTTAGTATTAAATAAAAAGCTTTATAAATTTGATTACACTGCCCATAAGCAAGGAAACTACATAAGTATACCTATTCTCCCTTACAATGATATTGGGATTTTTAATCTGGAGTTTTTTTCATGATTATCAGTGTACAACAACGCTTCAATATACTAAAGTATTTATCTATGTGAGCTCTATACCACGGTTAAGAAATAGGTCAAGTGTTATATTATGTTTTAAGGGTCAAACATGGGAACCCCCAATTTTTACCCTAAAACACACAGTCCTTTCCGTAGTATTATTATTCTGTTTTCTAGATCAAATAAAAACAATGATAAAAGCAAATAAATCGATTTCAAAATTTGCTAATAAGAAATGATAATAAATTCTGTCAAAATGTTAATATAAAAAATAGAATAATAGGGCTACTATATATAAATAAAGATAAAACATTAATAAACGTAGTAAAATTATTTATTAAAATGTTTACTGACTATAGTTTCGGCTCTAAGGCCATTTTAAAAGTCTGCCAAAATTATATTTTTATGACTGATTTAGTCATTCTAATTGTTAAGCAATATTTTTCTAGTAAGGAAG